TAATTGTACCAAGTTTCGTTAAAATCCCTCGAGTAGTTTTTGTTTGTATAAGGAACATACAGACAGACAGACAGACAAAAATTTTACTGATTGCATTTTTGGCATCAGTATCGATCACTAATCACCCCCTGATAGTTATTTTGAAAATATATTTCATGTACAGAATTGACCTCTCTACAGATTTATTATAAGTATAGATAACCCAGAATATCATATAGGCTTATTTTTATTCAAATCTAAGAATAGTCCGCCTTATGTACACCGTTCTATGTGCATATAAGTTTTACAACAAAATGTTAACAAATAACTACTAAACTGAACTATAACTAAATGAAAAAAAGGGTAAAAATTAAAATATATGTATACATATCCTCGTAGCGCCCACGGATTTTTTGGATCCTCTTTAACTACGACCCGACCGTCCTTCTTATAGGACATATAGTTATAGTCCTATCAGCCCAAGATTTTGAGTTGAAATTCGTATGTGTTAGAGTTACCGGTTTGAAGTGAAACTTTCAGGGTATAATTATGATTATATTAGCATGTGTTTTTATTCAATTANAATATACCGTGTCTTTACAATGCCTGCATAGGTAATGAAAATTCAGCCTTCTAGTTTTATCCACAACGAAGTTACAGGCGGTCGAAAATGGCCTGAATTGCTTCGAGAAAAGGATGGTACGGCCGTGCCGCTTTTTTGCTCGACTTGGTGGGGGCACTGCCGTGCCCCCAGATTAAGTAATCTAAGATACTACCTATCCTTTGGCACACATAAAATGAGATTTAACAGAAAGCTGCCGAAAAGATGTAGGTACTAACTACTTACCTACATAGAAGTAATGTTAATTTATGAGGCTGCGTACTGTTTTAAGACCCGGTAAGACACAATGAAGAGACAAAGAAAACCTTATTTCGTTTGTTCGTTTCCTTTCAGCCAAATGACGTCCACAGCTGGACAAAGGCCTTCCCAAAGCATTTCCACAAAGACCGATCCTGCGCTGCCTGCATCCAAGTACTTCCCGCGACCTTCACAAGATCGTCGGTCTTAACACTACGTCTTTCGGCCCGTGGTCGCCACGAAATTTTTTGCCCCAATGGCTATTGGCTCTACAGGCCACTTGAGTTTAGCAGTTCTATGTCGATCACTTTGGTTTTCCTGCGGATCTCTTCATTTCTAATTCGATCATGTAGGGAAACTCCGAGCATAGCACGCTCCATCGCTCTTTAGGAGACCTTGAGTTTTCTTATGAGACACATAGTAAGTGACCACATTTCAGATCTGTTTATCATCACTGGCGACCTATTTCGTATGATAATGCCAAAGCTAAAAATTAGCAAACGGTTCGCAAACGCTATTAAACTGCTGCATATAGCGGGGGGGCCGAGGAGGCACGGTCTGGTGCCCCCCCATGGATGTTGGGCTATTGATTTGAAGATGATAGTTGATAGTACTTACTCATGAACTGATACTAATCGCGCCGCTCGACTGAATTATGAAGACGCGTTCAACCGACGATCTGGTACCTACCAGTGTTGGCACTAATCAATTAATTTTTTAATCAATTAATTAATTTGATTAATTTTAATCGTGATTAAATTAATCCTGATTACAATAATCATGATTAAAAAAGTAATCATAATCATGATTAATTTGTTAATCATTAATCAATAATCATTAATTTGATTAACTTGATTAACTTCTTAAATGTTCTATCGAAAACAATGTTAAAACATTGAATTCTAATATTAGATGTTTGGTTTTAGGCTACAATTCTATGACAGGTCATACCTAGATAAATATAAGGTAACCTAGACTGCCCCCCGCCCCCTTCCCTCGCTGAATCTTCCGGTGCAGTCTTCCGACCTCCCGTAGGAGGATATCAGTCCACTTCCCCTACCGTTCCAGCACTTACTTGCAACCCCCCCACACTCCCACCACCTGCCCCCCATCCCTAGCCTCCCCTGAAACTTCTGGTACGAAGTCTCCTGCACCTCCCCAACACGCAAAACCTCCTAGCTTAGCAACCCCACCCTTCTATTGAATTGCCCACGCGTGGCCCTTCCCCCGAAACTTCTGGTACGAAGTCTCCTGCACCTCCCCAACACGCAAAACCTCCTAGCTTAGCAACCCCACCCTTCTATTGAATTGCCCACGCGTGGCCTCCCCCCGAAACTTCTGGTACGAACTCTCCAGCACCTCCCCAACACGCAAAACCTCCTAGCTTAGCAACCCCACCCTTCTATTGAATTGCCCACGCGTGGCCCTCCCCCCGAAACTTCTGGTGCGAACTCTCCTGCACCTCCCCAACACGCAAAACCTCCTAGTTTAGCAACCCCACCTTTCTGTTGAATTATCCACGCTTGCCCACTTCTCCCCCTATCGTCAGCCAGCCCGCTTAACTTCTTTCCTGACCCAATTTTGCTGGAGGATACCGGAAGAATAGAAGGAATTGTGAGAAACAAAACTAGTGCGATAAGTGTTTTGAGTAGTGAAAATTGACGCAGTTTTTTGGGAAAACGACAGTACAACTCCAGATCCCCCCTTTGCTAGACATTTTATAAGTCGCGGGTACCTTTTCATACACCCCCAACCCCTTTCTTATGAAAATAGTAGATAGTTAATCAAATAATCAAATTAACGATTAATGATTATGATTAATTAATCTTAATCAAAATTTTTGATTAATGATTAATTAATCATAATCAAAAAAATTTGATTATGATTTTAATCATTAATTTTTAATCATTAATCAGATTAACTTTTTGCCAACACTGGTACCTACGCAGTGCGTAGAAAGCAATAACTCGTGCGTACAGTTAGTCTAGCACTATGGTATTATGATTTTCCATAAATGACGATCTGTTTAGCACTGTAAAAGGGTTTAAGTCGTCAGTAGACAACTTAACTTTCCTTACAATTAATTGTAACTGCGCGCTGTGCATAGCCGGTAGCCAGTATTCAATGTGCGGTCACAGAATTAATAGTACCAAGGTGCGGTGTCGGTAACAAAGTGTTTGGTCGCCACCACACCACCACGTCGACTCGGCAGCCGTTGCGGAAAAAAAAGTGTATTTACGTTTGTGCAGCCCCTTAAGAATACAACAGAAAAAAATACAAGTAAATAGCTTAAGCCCACCTGAATCGCATTAAGTTCCTTGAATAATTCAACTGTTTTAGGCCCAGGCACAGCAGTTTTGATACATGGTTGCTGAGGCTCAGACAGGGCTGCTGTTGCCAACCGATGGGAATCTGAAGAAACAAAATAATACAATACCTGTTATGTTATTAATAACACCGATCAACAAAAATTTTTTTTTTTTTTGCGCATTGATTTTACTTATTATATTCTGATTATATAAGCAAATTTTTCTGATTATATAAGCAAATTTATATAAAAAAGTGCGATTACAAATCGAAAATATTTGCTTTTTAAAGAGTTATAGCGATTTGAATTTTCCATCTTCATAGTAAAATGTCTCTAAAGATGCACGTCACATTCTCAATGGGATATATTTATAGATAATTATGGGGGCTTATTCGCAAGAACAAGGGGCACGCTTTCATCCAAATATAGTGGGATTTGAGAGACGACGTTACCAAGGCCAGTAAACTGAAAGTATGATAGGGTTAGATTTTAATGAGAAAAATCTTCTATGGAACATGACAGGAAATTAGGACACAATTTCGCCGTAGAAGTAACTGAAGTAAGAATATTAGTAGTAGACAATACTCACGATTTAAATAGCAGTTAACTGCTGGCCATTTCCTTGGTACGACTTTTTCTATTACCCTCAACATTTTGAGAAGTTAATGTTCAAGACAAAAATAACAAGCAACTGGCTTGTTGCGTATCAGTCAGTACAGTAATAAAAGCAATTCACGGTGTATGTAATTGATAAATCAGGCACAATCAGCGCCCAATCAATCAATTTATTTGTTTAGATCTTGGTAGATTCCGTTCATCGACCATCATCGACTGCAGGGTGCGGAAACTTCCATACAACGGTCATCGAAGTGAAACTTGCTTCCAAACAGCGACATCGGTGAATAAATTCAAATACTTTTTAACTACCCTAAAACGCTCTAGATGTCGCTGCTCCTGTTTCCTTCATATTTTCATTTTTTTCTTAATTAAAATATATTTGAGAATATTGTTAATTACAATGTGAAAACTTTTTTTAAATGAAATTAATTTGTTTTAATTTAAAACTGAACGGTGACATTTTTTGTTACAATTTACATAATAGAGTAGTAGAAATTACTATTTAACATATGGCAACTTTGTTTTTCCCCCAAAATGGCCGGTGTTGTTTTTGTTATGTTAAATGCATTCTTGTTTTCTTAGCCATCATTTAAGTGTTCTGTGGCCCTATTAAAGTATTGAAGAGTCGTCGAGTCAAATTCAAGTTCATTCCTTCGTACCTGCTGCTGTTCTCATTCATCGGAGTTTTGTTCGTTCCTTCGTGAATCGCGAAGAAACTTTCTGTTATGTTCACAAGTGATCTGAGTTTTCTCAATGTGCAAATGCTTATTTAGTGTTGTTGAAAACTTTGCGAAAAGACGCTTTTGGTGTATAATATTATGTGTGTTCATAAATAAAGTAAAATTATTAAATTCAAAAGTTTTTGTTTACTTATTTGCATTTCCATGTGCAATGTAGAATTTTTCCAAATCCATTGTTTTGAAAATAATACAATACGTACACCATAAAGATAAATATTTTCAAAATAATGGATTTGAAAAAAATCTACATTGTACAGCATAAAAACAATAATTCTTTGAAGGTTATGAGGGCCTTTGTGTGCGTGAACTGTGTGTATGTGTGCGTGGACTTTATGTATGTATGTGTGCGTGTACTATGTATGTATGTGAGCGTTACGTACGTAGGTTAAGTACAGGGAATTGAACACCAGGCTGTCAATTAGTAGGTTCAAAAATTTGACCGAGAGGGCTCTCTATTTCCTATGTATTACTTTTCTCTATGATCGACTGCGAAAAGGACTGACTGACCCAGTGTTGCCAGTCGGGTCTAGTCAGATGTCAGAAATTACCAGAAATATAAAAAAAAGTAACCTTTTTGAATAAAAAGTAAGTAACCTTCGTACGGGGGGGGGGGGCAGAGCGATTGTGTAAGGTTGTTCAATGTTCATTTTATTATCATAAATTCATATTTAAATGCAGTTTATGACATAATGTTTAAATTGTCACTATTAATATTTTTTACTGAATAACCTGTAAAAGTTAATTCTACAATTTCTGAAAAATCACCTAAAAGTAACCTTTTCATTAGTGTAACCTAAAAGTAACCAATGACCCAATGCAGTTCAAAAGTAACCTTCTGGCAACACTGCCACGAACAAAAAATATATTGACAACTTACAAGTATTCGGCCAATGGTACAAATTTCCAGGCCAGGAAGGTTTAAAAAAAAAAACAAAAAAGAAGAAGCTAGAGATGGGTTATACTAGGTAAATTTGATACTAGGTGCACCTATTCCTAGTATTTATTAATACTCGATCCAAATACCTATTCCACCTAGTACGTAGTAATTTAGCATACTTGACGCGACTAGTGCGGACTAATCCACGTAATATTACTTTAAAATAGGACAATTTTTTTTTAAAAGATACAACCGTAGTATGAATAATGCAATTTGAAATTGAATAATAATTCCTCCCTTCATACTTCAACAGACTTTGGACTGTCAACTTAAAAGTTGGCGTATTTAAAAGATATCAATTTCATAAAAATATTTACATATTTTTTCTTATTTACATGAATATGGTTTGACTACATTTGTGTGCGTTTGCTTCGTCGCGCTCCAATTTGTTTGGTCAGACAGAGACGGAGTGAATCTCTACGTTCGCACATAAGCTTAGCGAGAAATACTAGGTGCGCGTAATACACGACTACGGATTACGCAATAATAACCTCTATTACTTTGACCGTAGGGTCGGAAATCGTGTAATTTATAAAATACTAGGTGGATCAAGTATTTAAAAAATTGGAATAGGTGCCGCCTAGTACTGTAAAATACCTAGTGTGTGGATCTGTTCTAGTAAATACGTCTCATCTCTAGAAGAAGCCTTCTGTCATCTGTCAAATCACGTTGTCAGTCTCAGTGTCACTGACAAAAATAAACAATATTCTTCTCTTGGCTCACTTTTGCTTCCTTCGCTAATAAAAATATCTAATTGGTTTAGTTTTTATTGTTGCACCTGCCTATTCTTAGACATTTTTGTTAACACAGTTCCTGTCCTATTTAGTAAATAGTTACGTAATCCAAAAAGTATAAAAAAACGATGCTTAGTAAAGTTCTCCTATCCACCGATGTGGCTTTAGTATGTACACAACATGCTTTATCAACTGAAAAAGAAGAAATTATGGGATTGCTTATTGGAGAGGTAGTATATTATTATTACATGTTTATGATGAAGCAAACATTTTAGGGCAAAAACAGATCTTTCTACCTATTTCACATTGATAAAATAATGTCTGTAGAATAATGTACCTACTCATTTATAGGTATTATACACTAACTATAACAAAACTGATTACAGGTTCATGATGATGGAAGTCTTGTTTCAATAGTATCTTCAGTAATTCTGCGAAGATTAGACAAGAAACCTGATCGTGTAGAAATATCTGAAGAGCAGCTTGTACAGGCAACACTAAGAGCAGAAGAGTTGGCAGCTGAAGTGGGCAGACCTCTAAGGGTAGTTGGATGGTATCATTCCCATCCACATATTACAGTTTGGCCTTCACATGTTGGTAAGTTAACATGTTTGTTACTCTTTCATACTAAAACGACTGAACGGATTTTGATGAAACTATACAGTATTATTAGTTACTAGCGGCCGCCCGCGACTTCGTACGCGTGGATCCCGTTTTACCCCTTCATCTATCTTACGCGGTTTAGATTTTTTCATACAAATGTTTTTTCCCGCTAACTCCCGTTCCCGTGGGAATTTTGCAATATCCTGTTGTAACTAAGCTTTACGTTTACTAAGGTACCTGCATGCCAAATTTCAAGCGTCTAACTTAAGCGGTTTAGATTTTTCATACAAAAGGATTTTCCCGCCAATTCCCGTTCCCGTGGGAATTCCTAAGTATACTATAACCTGCCCAGGAGTATGAAGAATAATTGTACCAAGTTTCGTTAAAATCCCTCGAGTAGTTTTTGTTTGTATAAGGAACATACAGACAGACAGACAGACAAAAATTTTACTGATTGCATTTTTGGCATCAGTATCGATCACTAATCACCCCCTGATAGTTATTTTGAAAATATATTTCATGTACAGAATTGACCTCTCTACAGATTTATTATAAGTATAGATAACCCAGAATATCATATAGGCTTATTTTTATTCAAATCTAAGAATAGTCCGCCTTATGTACACCGTTCTATGTGCATATAAGTTTTACAACAAAATGTTAACAAATAACTACTAAACTGAACTATAACTAAATGAAAAAAAGGGTAAAAATTAAAATATATGTATACATATCCTCGTAGCGCCCACGGATTTTTTGGATCCTCTTTAACTACGACCCGACCGTCCTTCTTATAGGACATATAGTTATAGTCCTATCAGCCCAAGATTTTGAGTTGAAATTCGTATGTGTTAGAGTTACCGGTTTGAAGTGAAACTTTCAGGGTATAATTATGATTATATTAGCATGTGTTTTTATTCAATTATTTGTCTACCTTTTGTTCTTTACAAAGGCCATCGGGCCACAAATACTAGATTAAAAGGAAGTATTAAGTGATGTAAAATTAAATAATACAAAAAATTTGTAGTGTAAAGAGTATTAAATTAATAATAATAATAAATATAATAAATATTTTTGAACAATTTCACACATAACGCTATCTAGCCCCATAGTAAGCAATTAATATGCTTGTGTTATGGGTGCTCGCTTAACGGATATACTACATTATATACGTTTTAAATACATACATATTATACTAGTAACACCCAGATCCGTCACAGAAATTAAAATTCATCATTTCAATTTCTGCCCGGCTGGGAATCGAACCCGGGACCTCTCGGCATAGTAGTCCCTTTTAGAACTACTACACCAAACGGCCGACAAATAATTAATTAATTAAATTAATTATTAGTGAAAGATAAGTTGCATTTTTATATTAGTAATATTCCATAAACCAATATAACACAAAGCCACAAACTAAAAATATTATGATATTTTTAGTACTAGCTTCGACCCAACCGCCTTCACAAAGTACATATTATTTCAAACCAAGATTTCGCAGAATTTCTGCCCTAAAAATGCAAAGTAATTATCTCTATTTAAGTAATACCTATTCGTTAGCAACTTTTTGCATAAAAACATACTCGACAACCACGGATTATCATAAAAAAATGCGATTTACTAACTACGTGTTAGTGAGCCGTCCATACCGCCGGCCATTTTTCAAAAAATCCCATCTGTCAATTGTGACAGCCAATGGTAGCATACCGGAAACTGTTCCCTAATATTTCGTTCAGAAATCGAATTAAATTATTTCTTTAAGCCGCGAAATTTCAAAAATCTAGACAAAGTTTAATAATATGGCCTTCTGAAAGGCGCATGGGCGGTAATTGAAAGTTAGTTGAAAAAAGTTCTGGGCTGTAGTCGCCATGTTTATTTTGGGTTATCAAAAGGCGCGTGGGCGCTACGAGGNATGATCCCATGCACTTCATTCTTACATGTTGGAACGGCACAAGACGGCATAATTTAATTATAAAGTGTCAATCTGACGGATATGTAAACAATGCGCGCGCCGGCCATTGACTGATTGCTCTAAAGTCAAATTAGTGCGATTTGGAGTACTTTATATGAATAGGTACACATTTACGCCCGTTGACGGTTTCTGGTTTGTTCCGTATTCTGAGGCCACAAACTAAAAATATTATGATATTTTTAGTACTAGCTTCGACCCAACCGCCTTCACAAAGTACATATTATTTCAAACCAAGATTTCGCAGAATTTCTGCCCTAAAAATGCAAAGTAATTATCTCTATTTAAGTAATACCTATTCGTTAGCAACTTTTTGCATAAAAACATACTCGACAACCACGGATTTATCATAAAAAAATGCGATTTACTAACTACGTGTTAGTGAGCCGTCCATACCGCCGGCCATTTTTCAAAAAATCTCATCTGTCTATTGTGACAGCCAATGGTAGCATACCGGTAACTGTTCCCTAATATTTCGTTCAGAAATCGAATTAAATTATTTCTTTAAGCCGCGAAATTTCAAAAATCTAGACAGAGTTTAATAATAATTATGGCCTTCTGAAAGGCGCATGGGCGGTAATTGAAAGTTAGTTGAAAAAAGTTCTGGGCTGTAGTCGCCATGTTTATTTTGGGTTATCAAAAGGCGCGTGGGCGCTACGAGGATATAATACAAGCTTTATAAATAAAAAAAAATATAGGCTATAAATTATGACGATATGTGCTGTGACAAAATAAATTCCACTGTAAATAAATCCACTGCACCATTCACACTGATATCATAAATAATATTATCCTGGTGAAGTGTTTGTATAGTTCTAGAAAGTAGTCTCTTATACAATATAATTTTACTTGTGCTATTTCATTATTTGCAACAAAAAATTGAATTTGAAAAATATATTTTTTTTTACTTACAGACCTTGCAACTCAGTCAATGTATCAACGAATGGACTCCAGTTTTGTTGGCATTATATTTGCCGTATTTTTGACTGAACAGTCCACAAAAGCTCCATCGGTAATTTATCACCACGAAAAATTAAACAGCGCCCCCTAGGGCGGCTATAATATAGGGGACGCTGTTTAATTTTTCATACAAAATTTTTCGATGACACTTTGAATACGCAACGAAACGAACTCGAAAGTTTTTCCTACTAGGGCGGCTATAATATAGGGGGCGCTGTTTAATTTTTCATACAAAATTTTTCGATGACACTTTGAATACGCAACGAAACGAACTCGAAAGTTTTTCCTACTAGAGGTACTGAAGTGTACAATCTCACGATCGCTTTATGGAGCGAAACAGACGGGCTTAGAAAAATGCAAAGCAGCAGCTAATTTTAAAAACAACCAGCTTGAACTATAAATAAAATACTCAGTAAAAAAATATTATTGGTAAAAAAACCCAACTGCGTAAAAATGAACTAAAAAGATAAAAACAGTGTTCACAAATGCAATCGGAGGCATCAATGACTAATTCTTTTGTTGGTGATAAAATATGTATTTGACGCAGTTGGGTTTTTTGTTTATTCAATAACATTTTTATTTTTTTAGTTAAATAAGCATTTTTGTAAGCTACTTAAAAAGCCCTTTATTTTGATACCCTACTCGATAGGTTTTAGAAAAAAAAATTTTTTTAGAAGACATCATCTTCACTTTCCTGATCCTTTGCACCCTTTTTTCCGTTTTCCATTTTTACTTTCCTATACGTTTCCCTACCTTACCTCGTTGTGGCTGACGCACAAGCCGTGCATGCCATCATAGAAAAGAAAAGACATGGCGCCTAAATTCGAATTCCTTCTGGCGCAGTCGGGTAAATACCACAAAATAATAATTTATTGTTATTTCAGATTCAGATAACTTGTTTCCAATCTGTCAATGAAGGTTCATCCCAAAGTAGAAAGGAAATAGAAATGGAAATAATTAATAATAATGACTCTTTAATTGCAAACAACTTTCAAGTAAGTACAAATAAATAAGTCTAAAACAAAAGAAACCATTGACCAAAGTGTCAAAAAGCGGGCGCGAGATATGGCGTGATATCGACATGGCGATGTCATACCATTACGATATGATTAGACTGTGAATTTTATGGTTGTGCACATTTCATTAAGTATTTAGACTCAACACATTTCATAAGTATTTAGCAATAACTCCAAATTTTTTGCTGTTTTAAAAAACGCCCGTCAGCTCATCTGAAAGAGCTCAGTTTTGTCTAAAAATGGAGTTAGTGCTGATATCGTTAGCACGGCGCAGTACGTGTGAAATAAACTGTATTGCAGATTTTTTACAGAACGTCTCACCATCACCAACCTCACGCGCCCGCTGTTTGACAAAGACAGTTGTTTTTTTGTAGTGAGTCATATGAAGCTTTCAGATGAATTAACTTCGAACGTAGAAAATTATTAATTTTATGAGCGCTTCGCCATGTAGCAGCCCGACAGACGCGCGGATGCATGCCTTCACATTATAAAAACGCCGCTGCCGCGCTGCTGTCGCGTTTTTAACGCCCTAATGTGAAAGCGCTCTTTATAATAACTTTATCATACACATTTTACAGATATTAACGCAATTACCAGCAATACTTAAAGAAGAAGAGGATGAATCGTACAACACTGAAGTTGGATACGATGATAGTGACGATATTATAAACAAACAACATAATGCGGCTGTCAGAACTATTGCAATCGGGCACATAGTTGAAAAGGTTCGTTAATTAAATATGAAAACTTGTGAGGGCGGGATATTTGGCTTATAATACTGGGCGGGTTGCCTGTTCTGCTCTTGATATCCCATTAGGGAGCACCTGTACGGCTAGCACGAAAATCTTTCCGAGTTCGAATCGTTTGCGTATTCGACAAAATTCGATAGTCAATCTTCGAATTAAACGAAAACGTGACAATTTTGACTCTCAAAATAAGTTTCGTGCAAACATTTCTTATAAGTTCACTTTACGACACGTTCACAAGTGCGCTGTTTAGTTTTCGTACTAAATCTTTTGATGGCGATTCGAATACGCAAACGATTCGAACTCGAGAGGTTTTCGTGCTAGCCGTACTGGTGTATTGATTTAACGTTTTGGTTAAATTTCGACGATACATTGAATATTACTAAAAGATTAACTGTTTTAAAATACATTGAATAATGTTTTACATTACAGATGTCAAGACCTATGTTAGAAGCGTTAGTAGCCCGGAATGCATTAAATACAGTGAGACTTACAGCATTGAAGAAACATCACCAGGAGTTAATGGCCCGATTAGAAAACGTGTCTGCTACGTAATGTTCGTGGATTTTAGTAACGCATAATTATGAGATGCAATATTTTGTAAAATAAATAAACCTATTTATAAGACAATATCCTTTTTGATTCTAAGATATCCCAAATCATCAATCTTGAAACTGTTCTCTACAGTAACTTTGTATGTAAATTGTAGCATTGTAGGATAGTACTCAAGGTACAATTTGAGCTTTTACCTCCGTGACATCAAGCCAACGAGGTCCAGATAAGTGATCATATATTACGTTGCATATTTTGTGGTATTAAGTTGGCCTATTACTTCATAGATACCTACCAAGTACCAGTTTACCCGAACCACCTACGCGCACCCACTTTATTTATTGCGGGCTAGGGCTACGCAACCCTGAGCAATCGAAAATAAAGAACTTGTCGACCCCTAACCCTTTGAACGACTTGTCAAAAAGCTCTTTACTGTATGCGCTAGTGTTGCTCTCTAGCGGCAGAAGTTTAGATTAACACTTTTTATTAATGCAGATCAGTCATTATTTAGTCATTTAGTCCAGTCAATGTATGCCTTAACGACGGTGTAGAGAGAAATCCGTGGAACACAATGTCTGACCTCGGGACTTTATTTAGACTAGTTAGGAGGTGAACATAGCAAAAGTCCCCACCCTTAGCCCTTAAGCCGGCGAGGAGGGGGGTTTAAAGGTACCACTTTTTGGTATTTCGCTTAATCCTCGGAAACTATGCGTCCTAGTGACATGACTACTATGAACCAAGAAAAGCTTATTGAATTTGCTACAGGTGAGATAGTCAAGTTTTTCTATATCTTGTATAGTTTTCGCGGCATCTGCTCTAGAAGGTCTGTAATATTGGAAATTTTATTTTTGTCTTACATGTTCCTCCCATCAAGAGAAAATCGACTAAATCAACATTGAGCTAATATTGTAGACCTGCTCTCATTTATGTTGCATATTGCCCAATTGGATGCACTACTTGGGTAAATTTCGCTCTTTTAAAATAACAAAGTCAAAGAAGAGTAATTACCTATTTATTTTTTTAATTGCCATGTTAATATAAGTAATCCTACTAATATAATTGAATAAAATGCTATTGGCCACATAAAGGAGAGAATGGGTATAAGAGATAAAAACGTAAGAGCATATTATTAAGTAGCTTCATTAGACCTCGTTGGCACGGGTTTGTTACATTCAAATATTCCAATCACCTTGATATGTTAATTGTTGTTACATTAAGTCTTGTTTATCCACCATTTCAAATCCATCTGAGGAATCAACACTAGAGACGCGTTTTCTTTTAGTTGTTTCGTCAGTCTTAGTATACATCAAGTTTGTGACGACGCCCGTTATATTCCAAAGCGCATTGTAAGCTGAAGCACTCCACGCGGGCGTTGACCGGATCTCTTCCAAAGTAGAAAGCAGTTGTTCTTTTTGTTGTTGATCTAAAATTGAATAACACACCGATTACAAATACAGAATATGGATATAACAGCTCATATTTGTTCTAATCCTAATGCAAAAGAATACGTTCTTCATTGATAAGTAAATAAATAGTACTTTGTGAATGTTGTGTAAAGTGATGAATACTTAAGGGTTCTTTAAAAAAAAACGTTAATAATTTAAACTACATACTTACTTTTTTCTACTTTTCAATTACAATGGAACCAAAAATGTTCATTTAAAGGTAATAAAAAATTAATTCAGTTTTTAAATTCAGAATGAAGTGTCTTTTTAATAAACCACCTTGTGGCGCAGTCGGGTAAAAAGTTGTGATTTCGTATTATGTATTGGGAAATAAATAAATAATAATTTCACACAGCGTCATCTAGTCTCAAAGTAAGCAACTAATATGCTTGTAATATGGGTACTAGCTTTATTGGATATAGTACTTTTTAGGGTTCCGTAGCCAAAATGGCAAAAACGGAACCCTTATAGTTTCGTCATGTCCGTCTGTCCGTCTGTCCGTCTGTCACAGCCGATTTACTCGGAAACTATAAGTACTACAGTGATGAAATTTGATGGGAATATGTGTTGTATGAACCGCTACAAAATTATGACACTAAATAGTAAAAAAAAGAATTGGGGGTGGGGCCCCCCATACATGTAACTGAGGGATGAAAATTTTTTTTTCGATGTACATACCCGTGTGGGGTATCAATGGAAAGGTCTTTTAAAATGATATAAAGTTTTCTAAAAAACATTTTTCTTAAAGTGAACGGTTTTTGAGATATCAGCTCTCAAAGTCGTAAAAAGTATGTCCCCCCCCCTCTATTTTTATAACTACGGGGTATAAAATTCTAAAAAAAATAGAGGTGATGCATGCTAATTAACTCTTTCAACGATTTTTGGTTTGATCAAAGTATCTCTTATAGTTTTTGAGATAGGTTGATTTAACTGTTGCTGCTACGGAACCCTTTGTGCGCGAGCCCGACTCGCACTTGGCCGGTTTTTAAATGCATACATATTTTACATAGTAACACCCAGACCCATCACAGAAATTAAAATTGACCATTTCAATTTTTGCCCGGCTGGGAATCGAACCCGGGACCTCTTGCGTAGTATGCCGGCATGTTGATCACTACACCACTCATGTCGTCAATGGTGTCAAATAGTCTTTAGTTGAGCGGCCGTGGGAATCATAAGTCAGCCAGTCCAATATCTACCTTCACCGCTTCGGCTATCGGCGCTTAATTTTGAAGGTTTACTACTGAACCATACAAATTAAAGTGAGCCGTTTTTAGCTAACATTGCACAATTTGCACAAACCTCGTGGCATGTATTCATCTTCACTCGAATCTGAAGTTTCGACATTTTTATCTAGAGTTTTCATTTTTTCTATTGACAGATTTGTTACAAGAGAACTACTATTTTCAGAACTGTCACTTGCTTCCTCAAGAGGTACATCATCTGGTTTCCAATAATCTGCAAAGAAAATAAACGTCAAGAAATCAGTTTCTTCATTGTTTTAGTAATAGTTTTGTTAAATGCCCAATACAGTTACTCCTAGCTAGGCCACACACATCGCGATACCCGAAGTTGCGATGTGTGAAGCCAAGTATTCGCGTATATTTCAGTGCTTTTTTTTCATCAGTGTGAAATCCGGTGATTAATAAATGCAAACCGCGAATTTGCCGTCAAGTACGAATACGGATACTGTGAGTGTTGTGTGTCGTGGTAACATCACTAGTGGTAGTGTAACAAATGACAATATGAGTAATTGAAAATCTTCAAGCCCGCCCGAACGGACGACGCCGCGAACCCCCAGTCTACTTGAAACCACGGCCACGGATTGTGGCCACGGATCGCAGCCGAAACGTCAAGCCGTGAGTACATAATGTAACTCATTAATAAACGTCGTCGTTACGACCCGTGTCTTACTATTCTATCTGCTTCTGCTTCATTCATAAAAATAAAAAAATACTTATCGAAATGCTTTATACTAAACTTACCTAAACTTTGTCGTTCATCATAAATTTGGTTTGATTCAGGTTCTATAGTAAGCAAATTTATATCAACTTCAGATACTTCCGGCATTAGTCCTTCAAATTCCACATCAGATTCTGTAAGAATACATAGGTCAGTAAAAGAGGATAACTTTAGTAACGGACAACCACTAGCAGATGTAAAGAGTTGTAAGCAGACCAAATCAGTGTGTTTAATGGATATGGAGAGTCCCAAATTAAAACAGATAGCAGATTAAATGTCTATTTATATCTACAGACATTGAGCATACCAGACACGTGCCGGAACCGTATAGACAAAATATTATTTCCGCGAGTACTGGCCGCGCACAGCCGGCAGCCCCGTGTCTGTGCAGCCGTGTAAAGATAGATATAAATATGTAGACACTGTATTATAAGAATATTATTTTGTCCGGCACTGCATGTGTCTCGCACGCTCAATGTCTGTAGATATAAACGGATTATGGACCTTATAATAATGTAGAATGCGTGTATCAATCTAATCAGTCAGCATTTTCATAGAAATTTACATAATGCACCAAAAAAACTTTTTTTCCATTATAATAACTTAAAAAATACATCTCATGTTGAAAGCATGCATTTTCATCAATGCTGGAAATGTTCATACTTAATATTCTTTTATTTTTAAATATTAAATAGGTTTATTTTATTTCTCCAGTGGGTTATGGATCCCAGTTTGGGAACCACTGCTAATATACGGTTTTTATAAAATAAGTAGGTACTACGCAAGTGTATTTTGTAAACTTCTTAATTGAACTGAACTAATTTCTTAACTCATCAAGCCCCTCAAATAGAGACACAATAGATATCAATTATATTGCTGTGCAGTTGCAAGTGCTTGGGGTTTGGTGGGTTAATTAATAACATAAATTTTATATTAAAATTACCTGCATTTTGTTGTATTTTTTTTATCACTGTTACTATTGGTGGAAGCATTTTGTAGAATAATGTAAGAGTCATACTCAAAAGGTACATTATTACGTATCCCCTTAAATATTGTCCGGTTAAGAATATTATTCCTAATATAATGTTGATCAACAAAAAGGCCTGGAATAAAATCATTTTTTTTTACGAAATAATTCAATAATAGTTGATTATGGCTTTTAATATATACAACACAAGATGCCGATTTAATAAATAACTTTAACTAACTTACTTTTGTAGGATTAGTATCTCGCAAATACATAAACTCCAGCCATTTCTTGTAAAACCATGTTTTTAGTTGAGCAGCCATTGCTTTAAGTTGAGATCCATCTTGATCTGCTAGACGTTTCAAGCATGTAGTCCTATGTTTATATTTTAGCCAGGCTTCAAACCCATCAATTAATAAATACGAAATGTATAAATATATTGATAAACTTAATAAGTTGAATTCTTTATGTCTAAAAACACTGAAAAAAGTTAAATAAAGTTAGTAACTAAAGGAAAATCCTTATGGTACCTACACAATATGACTATAATAATTTTAGGTATATATTACTAAAATAGTTATACACTTTAAATGTAATTACACATTGAAAACACAATAATATTTGACTTAACAAATTCTGATCCCAAAAAATAGAATGAAAGTTTTCCATGCAGCACAAATTTATGATAATCGTAATTACGAGCTTTATATTGACTTCGCTCGTTTTTAAGGCGTAGAATGTTATAGCAAGCAAGCATACAGTAAGTACATAATAATTTGGTAAGTATGGTGTTACTATTGAATTAATAAGTGTTATGCAACTCGCGTGCTATTATCGCAAATATTAATTAAACAACTGTAATCTACTTACAAAAATATCACATTCAAAAACAGGATACAAGACAAAGACAGCCAGAGTTTCTTCCAAAATAATATTTCTTCAAGTATGCCTGTAAAAACTGCTATGATATAATGGGATGTTTGGATTTTCTTGTTGTCTTCTTTTTTGGGCGAGCTCCATTTAAATGTTTTCTTGAAAAAGGCAATCATGCTAACGTTTTACAATAATAAAACCATTCCGATTCCACACCAGTTATTTCTAAAAATATTGACAAATGCGACAAATGTCGTCGTCTCTGCGCTGTCACTCACAGATGAGACTGTCACTGTCAGAAAAGTGTTTTTTTTTTTTGGTTCCATTCGTTCCTTCTGGAACAGGCTAAGGTCAAAGACCATGCTGCCTAGTCATCAGTAATCTTTCAGAAAAGTGCTAAAAAAAACAGTGTTCCGATTTTATTCAAAACTATAATGGTGCTGATCCGCACGAAATTTTCATAAATTATTTATTATTTAAAGTAAAAGGTCAAATTAAGGCAATGTTAAATTCGTCCACAAGGCAATAAAAGTTTAGATGACAGTGGGCCAATGCCAATCAATATCAATATATTGATTTTACTGTTATAATCAGTGAAAGGTGTGTATATGTCGCAGTCAGATTGTATAATCCGCCGTTTTACATTACCACTAGGCATTTTACATTACAGCTCTGTTTTGTAATACGGCGATTCAACGTTTAGGCGGATTGTCATTGCGATACGTTCTTCAATACGGCGGCCCTCGTTTAGCCGCATCGTACTACTGTTTAGATTGTAGGGTGACCATACTTACAAAATAAAACAATGTTTAATGAAAATAAATTTTAATAAGACAGATTTCTTCTCACGATATTCCCTAGTAATTAAGTAAGAATTATTATCTTCGTTACTGTAAGTAATACTAAATTACATATTTGGCTTCAGTAATTTTTTTGTATATTTATAAATCACAGGGGATAGCCATCTCAAAACAAATAAACTTTTTTTGAAAGTTAATAATATAATAAAATATTTGGCCTTAGTCATTTTTAAACATAATGAGTAATCACAAGGTACAAACATCTTAAAACGGCCACTGTCATAATATCATACTTTTTGCACCAATAATATTGAGTAGGATTCCGCCGAACACCAGAATCTATAGCCACTTTAGCGGTTTTGATGTGGGCTATAACCTCCAAAACTCGGTCCCTTGTCCACGGTTTTTTGACTGTTCTACATTGTGAAGAATAGAAATTCTTCAATTGCAAGTTAAAATTGTTCTTAAACTCACTGTCGAAATACATATTTATAACGTTTTCTTTATTAGATTCAGAAATAACTCCGTAATTTAGCAACACATTTGAAGCCATTGTTGTTGTTATGTCAGGCAGCGCCACGGTATTGAAAATGGGAACTAAAAACTGTCAAAGCGGCGGGTAATGACACGCTGTTTTACATTGCGGCTAGCCGTATTGAAGAACGTTTGGCGCCGAATACATTCCGGCGGATTTTCATTCAGCCGTATTCAATCCGCCTAAACGTTGAACCGCCGTATTACAAAACAGAGCTGTAATGTAAAATGCCTAGTGGTAATGTAAAACGGCGGATTATACAATCCGACTGCGACATATACAACAGATAACGGAACTACAGATGTCACAGATGTAATCCATAGCTGTCAAATGTCAAATTTTTGACGTCTTTCTATTTTGTAATGAAATGTAGACATGTCGCAGTCGGATTGTACAATCCGCCGTTTTACATTACCACTAGGCATTTTACATTACAGCTCTGTTTTGTAATACGGCGGTTCAACGTTTAGGCGGATTGTCATTGCGATACGTTCTTCAATACGGCGGCCCACGTTTAGCCGCATCGTACTACTACAGATTGTAGGGTGACCATACTTACAAAATAAAACAATGTTTAATGAAAATAAATTTTAATAAGACAGATTTTAATAATTATTACCTTCGTTACTGTATACTAAATAATATATTTGGCTTCAGTATTTTTTTTTTACTTATTTATAAATCACAAGGGATAGCCATCTAAAAAAAAGTAACTCAAAACAATTAGACTTTTCTAAACATTTTAAGAATTAATTAGATATTTGGCTTTAGTCTTTTTAAGACATTAAAAATGATCAAAGGGAACAGGTAACTCAAAACTATAAAGTTTTAGTAATTTTTTCTGGGTTATTTTTCTTTAAGATAAAATTATCTTCACCGGCCACAGCCATGATTTCATATTTTTACACCAATAATATTGTGTAGGATTCCGCCGAACACCAGAATCCATAGCCACTTTGTCCGGCAGCGCCACGGTATTGAAAATAGGAACTAAAAACTGTCAAAGCGGCGGGTAATGACACGCTGTTATACATTACGGCTAGCCGTATTGAAGAACGTTTGGCGCCGAATACATTCCGGCGGATTTTCATTCAGCCGTATTCAATCCAGCTAAACGTTAATCCGCCGTATTACAAAACAGAGCTGTAATGCAAAATGCCTAGCTGTAATGTAAAACGGCGGATTATACAATCTGACTGCGACAGACATACTCTCTAATCTGTGATGAAATGAATCACCGTCGTCTTTGATGAAAGTTTTAAAAATGATTAACAAAAACAGTATTAATTAATTTCATTAAATTTCGATGCTTAATGTGTCTTACAATATTTAGTTTATGAAATGACCACAAACATTTATAATAAGTGCCCAAACAAGGATGGAGCCAGGCCGTTTAAGTATCGCGATTATGCAGCGAAAATTTCTATGAATTTACAACTTTTCAAGAGAGATGGCAGATTTTGTGATATAGATTTAATTTCTGGTAAAACTAAAGTTAAGGTAAGTGTTTTTAAATGAGGGTTTATACGAAACAATAAAGTGTACCTACTTTCAGTTGTTATGATAATAATATGTTGAATTTTAGGTATTTTATTAATTCTTGACTTATCCCTTGTTCTGTTCCATTGATTACAATTTATAATGTAAGATTTTTCTTTATTTATTCGGAATAAGTTCAATAAAATTACAAAATCTCACATCAATATTAATCCAATAATCATGTTTTAGAACTAATTGGATTGATTAATGCAGTCAAGTAAATGCTTGATGTTAATTTCAAAACCGTTTCGATATACAATTATTATTCCATTAATTATTATTGCATAGCTTGAGTGCGTAACTTTTTCTATTGCCATAAAAATAGTTAAAAGGCCTTCGGTGTTTTGTTTTTATATTTTTTAATATTACCTTACAGGCGCATCGCGTAGTGTTAGCAGCTAGTTGTGCATATTTTGATGCAATGTTTAGTGTAGGTCTCGAAGAAAGCCAAAAAGGACATGTTGCTCTTCCTAGTGTCCCACCTGATATCTTACCAATAATCATTGATTTTATTTATACAGGTATGTGTTATTTCAAGTAATTTTATACTAGTTTTAATTAGTGTTTTTCGATTTAAACATGTTATTTAATAGACCTCTTCTGTAGTGGTTAGTTAAAAACCTCCTGATTGGATTGTTTCAAAATGTATGTGGAAGGAATTGTATAGAAAATGATTTTTTATTATACTTATTAAGGTCCTTTTGTTTTGGATATAGATTAGACCACAAGGATATGAAAGTATTTTGGTTGAATTGAGGTTTAAAATTAAAATTCTTAAAAATACCAACTCTGTCAAGAATCTGTATTGAATTAATATAGGAAACTGTACCATACAGATCACAAATATTCATGAAATTAATTCGAATCCATAAAGCAGAAGTTATCGTTCATTATTTTGACCAAGTTATCGTTCATTATTTTGACCAAGTTATCGTTCATTATTTTGACCAAGTTATCGTTCATTATTTTGACCAAGTTATCGTTCATTATTTTGACCAAGTTATCGTTTTTCGGCAGGAGAAATTGTTATAGATAAGACAACCGTTCAACATTTATTGATAGCTGCAGACATGCTACAACTTAGAGAATTAGTAACAGGTTGTGGTGAATATTTACGAAGAGAATTGCATCCCTCAAATGCTCTTGGAATTTTCAGGTGTGTACCTACTCAGAACAACATTTCTATTCCTGGCACAGCAGGAATCAGCAGTGTGTGAAATATATTATAATTTGATAGTCCAGTGATGCATTGCAATGCAACAGTATTAAGCTGCAATAAGGTTTCCACACAAAAACAGCAATAACTCACTGTATTGAGTTTACCTATGTTTTTAGTTCCTTTGATGCTGATCGTTTTGAATACTGAACATATAAACTGCCTTCTACTAGATGTCGCTTTTTAGATTGTGTTACCTTCTAAAGTTTTTTTCTCCAAATATGTTGGTGAAAAACTATGAAAATCGGTCCAGCCGTTCTCGAGTTATAAATGTTCGAACAAATTCGTCATTGTTTTATAACTCTACGATTGCATTATATTATTTCTAGGTTTGCTGAAGCACACAATTGTACTGAATTAGCAGAACAAGCATTGGAACATGCTCAAGGAAATTGGAATATAGTAGCAAATGGAGATGAACTACTTGAGTTGCCTCTGCAGCAACTAGTCACTTTATTATCATCGGAGCAATTGAAAGTAGACAACGAAGCACAGGTTTCAATATTTGTTAATTAAATTGAGGCTAAGTTCAGATGGACATGATATTTATAAATGTTCACTTGAGTAGTTGCACACATACAAGTTCATCTCGGTTATAATATTATAATTATTTTATTGTAATTACCTATGTATGCTTGTAAAAACTTATACGTATTAACAGGCTTTTCAATATTAGAGGTACCTTTCCAGTTCCACCTAGGATCGAATATTCAATATAATAAGATAGATAATTAACTTTTATAGGTTTTGTATCCAGCTCTTCGTTGGTTAGAACATGATCCGGCATGTCGCCGACGGCATTGCTTTGAAGTATTGAGCCATGTCCGCCTACCACTAATTTCACCACAAGTCTTAGATGAAGCATTAAAGAATGTACAAGACCCATCTATAGCAGTAGCGTTGAAGACAGTCAGAGTAGATATGGTAAGCAATTAAAATAAAATATGTTTAATTATAAAAGCCTTGTCAGTTTGCAAGACAGTTATGTGTTACGTACAGTCAGCGTCAAATAGTTCGTGACACCTCACCCAAAGTGGCCAAAAAGTTGACAACGCAACCTTATTCCAATTGTAACAAAGACATGTTCCGAACTTTTTGGATATTTTGGGTGTTACGAACTATTTGATGCTGAATACCTTCCTATCATTCTAATGCCTATTTCAGTGAAGTCCATTGCAAGAAATGCTTTAACTACCTTTGAACATATTTTGATTGGGTTCCAAGGTGTGGAAATAGTTTAATGTCTTACATTTTGTTTTTAGAAAACTGGACGAGGGGCATTGGTGGCACTAGCAGCGGAGCCGCGCGCTCGAGCCCGGCGCGTTTTGCTCGTGGTGGGGGGCTCCTGTCACGACAACGCAGCCCATCTTCCCAATACCACAGATAATATTCTTTCTTCTGTGACAAAATTCGATCTGCATAAAAAGTAAGCTGAAAGATAATTTATGTATTCGACAGTGTCCAAAGTCTGCCCAGAATCCAATGCACATCCAACAATTTTTTAGGCAACAAAGCTCATTTGTATGTGTACATTTCCATTTCTCTTATAGGGAATGGGAAGAGCTATCACCAATGGGCATAGCCCGTATCCAACCGGGCGTAGCAACTCTTGCGGGACGTGTTTATGCTGTAGGAGGCGAGCAAGGTAGTCAAATACTAGCCAATGGAGAAGTCTATGATCCACAGGTACATTTATGTATTTACTTTTGGATACGCTGTAGATGTTATGTTGTTATGAGATGTGTTAACACATTACAATAAAGACATACACACGCAAGAGCATGTCGTCCTGTTACATCAAGCAATTTTCAGAGACTCCACACTATAAAGCCGCCATTCAAAAGCAACGCTTATCAGAGAACATGAAAAATAGTACCTAAACTGTAGGTAACTGTAGGTGGCACTTTTTGATCGAATTGAAAATCAAATCCGTTGTACTCTATACAAAAAAAATCTTTCGACATTACAACTGTCACGTTTTGCCACTTGTCTAGGAGGACTGCCCCCCTAGACAAAACTCACTTTTTGATCGAATCGAAAATCGAATCCGTCAAAACTCCATACAAAAAAGGGGCTTTTCGACCACTTATCGACTGGTTTGCGATTATAATTTGCACTTTGTCTAGACCCACTGTACTGTTAATGTCTTGTCAATCCTAGTTTCTATTTTAGATTGATAAATGGTCAAACATTGCGCCAATGAAAGAAGCTCGCTGCGAATTCGGAATGACTGAGTGGAACGGCTATCTATACGCTTTCGGAGGATGGGTGGGCTCCGACATGGGCGCCTCGGTCGAGGTGTACGACCCGGGCGCCGACGAGTGGACGCTGACCGGACGGATGCCGGAACCGAGATTTGGCATGGGTGTAGTTAATTTTGAAGGTAATCTCATCATCAAACTAATATTTTCCCACCCGAAGATTAAAAAGAATGAAGAATTCTTATTTGATTATTTTGTTATCTTTCTGTTTATCAAAACCCTTTTTCTGTTATGAGCGTGAAGATATCAAGTTGACGTGATAAAGGGACAGCCGATGGTATTTAATTTTGACGCATTTATTAATAAACTCTCTTTGTCGTCATTGTCGAGTGACAGGAGGAGTAATCTACAGGGGCGCTAGAGTAAATGTGATAGCTTTCTGGTTCTGTTGAGCCATAATAAGTGACGGACTTCACTACACTACTGGCTAAATGTTGAGCGCGAATACGTATCAGATTCTATATTAAGAAATACATAATGCAATCTGTTAATGCATACTATTTTCCCTTTTATAGGCCTTATTTACGTTGTGGGTGGATGCACTCATACGTGGAGACACACAAGAGACCTGCTGTGCTATCACCCAACGTCGCGCAAATGGCAGACTCTGACTCCGATGCGCCACGCGCGAAGTCAGGCGGCTGCCGTAGTTCTCGACAACTACCTTTATGTGATAGGTGGCAATGCGCCGGGACGAACTGTACTTACCTCAGTTGAAAGATATAGTTTTGATGATGTAAGTTCTTGTTTATGATATTATTTTTATCTACTCCTAGTTTTAGATTTTTTGATCGATTCATCACACACAAGAAGTGTGCCGCAGAGCCTGTGGCGTGGGAGCTGCACGGGAGAGGAGACATTGACATATTAGACGTGACTGGGCAAATCTGAAGTATCGCTGACTTTTGACTGTCACAAAAACACCCTCCCTTGCAGATTCCATACCTCTAACAGTGACTCAGTTAAGCCTAGACCTGTACTATCGCCAATATAGATAGTACAGGTAAAAAAGAAAGTCAAGTCATCTCGTTCTATCGCAAAGAATCGCCATTTGATTAGAGCGAGAGCAAAAACGGAAATGGATAGTTAACAGTGTGGGCGTGTGTACATCCCAATTAATATTATTTTTAACTTTTCGAAAACCGTTTTATTCATACAGGGTGTTGATTTCAATCCTCGCCATATTTATTTAGGTGATCTATTATGATATTTATGATTTATAATAAACGCATTAGCGACCAAAAAAAATTACAAACGAAAGTGGATTTTTAGCGAATATTAGTATATCCGTTAAGCTAGCACCCATAACACAAGCAAATTAATTGCTTACTTTGGGGCTAGATAGCGCTGTGTGAAATTGTCCAAAGATATTTATTTATTTATTATTTTCCGTGCGACATCAACTGTACTGTGGCTCGCAATCCTGCAATACGTTTACACTGCGGCACCCATTGAGGTAGGTACGCGGATCGCTCACTTATCATGTCGGATAGCCTACTGAAGGAAGCCACGTAAAGTAGGTAGTATAAAAAGGTATTTTTCTTTAGACTAACTAAAGTTAAAGTTCGTTTAAAAATTTTTTAAGTCCTTTTTTTTACTGATTCGTGATCAGAATAAGCTTTAATCAACTGCCTAAATATGGCGAGGATTGAAATCAACATAATGTTGAATGTTAATATGAAAATATGATCGAAGCGGGAGGCTCATGTGCAGTGCGTTTGTGTTCTGTAGGACTCGTGGGAGGAGGTGGCGAGCCTGCGCGAGGCGCGCGCCGGCTGCGCCGCGGGCGCGCTGGAGGGCGCGCTGGTGGTGGCGGGCGGCGACAGCGAGAGCGGCGGCGAGCGCGCCTTCTACCGCGCACGCACCACGCTCTCCAGCGTAGAGGTATTCATTTAATATACCCTTTTATTGACAGTGATTGGGTATTTGACACCATTCACCAATAGTTCTAAAGCACACCTTTTTTTTAAACTTTTCAGCCCTAGGATGCGCGCTGTGATATAAAGCTATCGATGATTTTAGACGTTAACGTGTATGGGCAAAATTGATAAAATGGCGCGATATCCGCTAATCGCGACGCGCATCCTAAGCTCTAAACTCAATTCATTTTAAATCAGCTGTAAATTAAATTTTTGGTTGTTACGTAATTGAAAAAAATATCAATTGAGTTGGCAACATAGTGACATTACCAGCTTTTTTATAGTCCTACAAAATTGGGACTCTCGTTTTACAGTTCATAAAAAAAGTACGTCAGTTGATTGGTGGTGTGAAATGCCCTATTTTCAGTTTTAAAAACCTATTTGCAGAAAATAAATTACTTCTATGACTTTCAGGTATACGACCCCCGGGAAGACTCCTGGCGCACCGACACCTCGCTACCCCTCTCCCGAGCCGAAGCCGGCGCGGCGGTACTTTGACATAATATACACAATGGACAGTTTTTAAGTACTCCATTGAATAAAAGGTACAAACTACTATTACAGCGGACGACGCATTGATATATTTAAAACTTTTTATCGATTTCGAATACAGTCAGAGTATGCAGAACGATGCGAAAAGTTAAAATTGTTGGCGGACCAAGTCTACGCATACACCTAATGCAGATTTCGCTACGTGCATGCCGACTGGTGTGAGAGTTGCGATGACGGTGGCTAAATCCGCTAAGGACAATGCATACTGGAATATTAAAAACTAGCGACTAATACTCGCATAAAATAGGTATATTTTAAATACATAATAAGAATGCCTTATGAAATGAATTTTGAAAATTCATTAATAAGTAAGTAGTAATCTCAGGGGTTAATAAGTATGTACAGACGACAGCACAACAGACTATACATTTTCGTTGCAAAGTCGCCCTTATCGCAACTACGTAAGATACCACAGTGTTTACGTTGATGTGCTGTCGACTGTACCATCTTAAAGTCAATAAGGGCAAAAACATATTCAGCTTTCCCAATCCTATTTTTTAGGTTGATGGTCTGACAGTACTTATTATTCTCTGGTCTGACGTTCAACTACATTTTCAAAAGATTCAATATGGGAACTGTCATATTTGAATCAACACTACGATTTGATGCCTAAGCCTAGGCGCAGACCGTTGATTTTTCGTTGGCCGATAGTATAGTCGGGCAGTAAAAAACTCAGTAAAACTCATTTATTTCTGTAAGTAGGCTTTAAAAAAGCACTTTTACACGTCCCAGTATTAACCCTACCACTTTTTGACAAAGTTAATTAGTATGGGCATGTATGGAAGTGCGCACATTACGCCGATTCGATTTGGCCAGTGGCGGATTAACGTATAAGCACTACAAGCACGTGCTTGAGGCCCCTGTTCTCCAGGGGCCTCCATCGTCTGCTGGCGCGCCAGCGTTTTTGGAGGCGTTTCATTTCATACCTACATTTTATCGAGATTTAGCCTATGTTACTCGTGAGTAATGTACCTAGCTTTCAAATGGTGAAAGAATTTTTAAAAACGGTCCAGTAGTTTTTGAGCCTATTTATTACAACCAAACAAACAAAGTTTTCCTCTTTATAATATTAGTATAGATAAAGTAAAGTGCGTTTTCCCAAATATAAGTGGCGTTTAAAGAAAGAAAGAAACATTTATTACGATGAACATCACTTATGTCATGACAGAGAATGTACACAGAAAAAAAGACAGAAATGGCACATAAATATTACAAGGAAATAAAAAGTGAACTGAGCAGTGAGCGAGCAGTGCTATCCTGTCGCAACAGTGATGCCCATCACAATTAGATTCCACTCAGCATATGCCGTGGCCCACGGTGGGGAAGGCCACGACGCTGCCGCGCTGGTTTTCAGTGGGCCCCATGCCGAGTGGAAGTCACGGACACTAACCTAAACTGCATATCAACAAGGCCGTTTAAATATAAATATATAACAATAATAATAATGTGCAAACATTTGTTGAATAAACATAATTATTGTAAATTAAAGATGCTACATAATAAAATAATACCCGTATTAAAATAATAATAATTGTGTATATGTGTAATATTTGTAAATGTATACAGGGTGTCCNCGTACAAAAAGATTTTCCCGCTAATTCCTGTTCCCGTGGGAATTCCTAAGTATCCTATAACCTGCCCAGGAGTATGAAGAATAATTGTACCAAGTTTCGTTAAAATCGGTCAAGTAGTTTTTGTTTCTATAAGGAACATACAGACAGACAGACAGACAGACAGACAAAAATTTTACTGATTGCATTTTTGGCATCAGTATCGATCACTAATCACCCCCTGATAGTTATTTTGAAAATATATTTCATGTACAGAATTGACCTCTCTACAGATTTATTATAAGTATATGTAGATTCCAAAATGGTATAACACTTGGTAAATTCTTGCTGTAATTGTCGACAATTTTTGTTTTTTCTGAAATAATCCCGTTTTTAACTTTATCTACCTTGGTTAAAAATTATTATTCTAATGTGCCCAAAATTCAAGTTTCTGGCTTAAGTGAGGTGGAGAAGCCATTTTAAAAGGTATGAGCGGAACGAAGAGGGCCATCTTACCAAGCAGGGATGTTATGGAAATCTGTAACCGTAACCGAAACTATCGGATATCCGAAATAAAAAAAATATCCATAACCGTAACCGAAACTGATTCAAAAGTTACGGATAGTTTCGGATAAAGGCGGAGTCTTAAGGGTTGTACCCTTCCAAACAGCAAAAATCTATGAAATCTGCAGTATACATGCCGCAGCTGCAATGCCGCGCTGCCAAAACAAAAATTGTCGACAATTACAGCAGGCATTTACCAAGTGTTATACCATTTTGGAATCCTTACTAAATGCGCCAAATTATGACATCACTTGCCACACTCGCGTAGTACAATTTTTTTTCAGTACAGTCAGTTTAAACCAGGCAAAATTTTTTATTTTAAAATTTTTTTTGGGAATAATGTATTTTTTTCATCCAAGCTGGAGCAGCTGGTTTTGTAATTTTGATAACAATTTAGTATTTAGAGAAGCATTATTCAGGGTTACATAACAAAAAAAAAATTGAAAAAGTGAAGATTTGTGGCAACTTGAGTAAAAAGACCGTTACCGGGAGTAGATTTTTTTGTTTTTTTTTTTAAATGCCTATTATTTTGACAATATGACACATAGATTTTTTTGATTACCAGCATAACTTGCCTCAACACCCAGTTTCGGCTTGGCGTTGCATTACGGGACACCCTGTATATAAAAATAAACATGCGATGTGAAAAAAGAAGAGAAACAAAAGAAGTGTGCTAGCGTAAGACTATCATTGTGGTTGCGTTTAGAATCTTTCACAGCTTAATGATTACTAATTGCTCTGCTGAACGATCCTTCTCACAACTAAAAAGGTTAAAAAACCCGCAATGAACAAAAATCCGTCCAGACAAGCTTAATTCTTTAGCATTAATGTGTATTGAGGCAGACATACTTCGTCGGATAAATTTCGACGATGTAATCTCGGAGTTTGCTCTGATTAAGCCAAGGAAAATAATGTTTTAAGTTTTAAATTTTACCTACTACACTTTCTATTTTGATGAACTTTCATTTTATACTTTATACCTTCCATTCCATTCCTTCCATTTCCATTTAAGCAATAGAGGGCCTACACAGGCTCTGTGCTTAAGGCCTCGGATACTCTTAATCCGCCACTGGATTTGGCCGACTATAGTTGAATGCGATTCCCAACTGCCTTCCAACTAAAGTATCGTCCAACTATCGGTCGATAGCTTGATCAGTACGGCGCTCCTCTACGCGCCCGCATACTGGCTGATTTTTCGTCGTCCAACTCGGCCGAAAGCTTCAGTTCGCACCCCGTTTTTTAGGCGGGAAAGGACGTCGTTCTTTTTTTCCGCATTAATTTATTATTATTAATTGATTTAAACTACTCTCGATTTCACTTTTTCATGATAATTTCCCCTTCATGTCCTACTAATATTGGAAAAAATAGGCAAGTTGAAGCCGATTTTCATTAAAAAAAAATTTACTTTGCTGTGACAAACTGAATTTCATGCAAACGAAACCGCAGGCATGAGTTAGTTAAGTATAAAAAAAATATAATATTCCTGATAAATATTCCACGCGAATGATCTCTTCAACAGCTCTCTACCGAATGAAGACAATCGGCCCAACTTTAAAATCGGCGGTCTGCGCACCCACGCCCGATTCAACTGTTTAGTTGGATCAGTGTGCGCACTGAGAGCCCAACCCGACTAAACTATCGGCCGACGAAAAATCGATGGTCTGCGCCTAGTCTAAACAACTCTCTCGCAGTCGAGCCTTAGACTTAGACTAGGCGCAGACCACCGATTTCCATACATGCCCATACTGATTAACTGCCCAACTAAACTATCGGCCGACGAAAAATCAATGGTCTGCGCCTAGCCTTAAACTAAAAAAAAACTATTTTGGCATAAGTAAATTACCATCACATCATTCACTGAAAAAAAAACAGTCCAGAGAGATATATTAAGTAAGTAGCTGAAATTGTTTTTGCCGCCACAAGCGATTGCGATAGATGTTGGTTTTGTTGGCGAAAAGGAAAATGTTTGTGACAAAATGGAATCATTACATACAGTCTACGCTAGTTAGTTTCATTTTCTTAAACATAGTTAACACAGTTCGGTTCAATCTTGTGTATAATAAATAACAAAGGCATCTTACATTTTCCCAACTATCCTATTGTCGGCATCGAAAGCAGTGGTGCTATAAATATCTGTGTGCCTGCTAATGTTTTGAAATCATTATGTGCTTTTAATTTATCATTTTTAATGTCTTCGTATCTATTCAAAAAGATACTACGTGGTTACTTTGATTTTTAATTCGAGTCAGTACTTACTTGTTTTAATTTTATCTATTGATCAAGTAACTGCTATTCTATAAAACATTGTTAGAATTGGTACTGAATCGAATTAAAAACGAAATTGTATAGAAAACAATAGGAACTATATAATTTAATCTTTAACTAAATAAAATTTGCCAAAATTAATATAAACAAAAACACATTAGTGTCCAAGATGCCAAAATATAATTATTTTCAGTTGATCAGTGAAATACCTGACATGTCATCGATCGATTAAATCTATTCGAAGCCTTTAATTAAAATAAAATGAGAGTAGCGTCCGTTTTCGGTTCGAATACTATAGTTCATTCAGCTTATGATGGTGATTTAGACAGTTGAAACATTTCGTTTCATGAATCCAACTTCCTAAGAATGATGAAGATCAGCAAGAAAGCGAGTCAAGTCTAATCCAATTGTTATTAGATCATCGATGCCTTTGCTTGTTGCCCATTTGATCCACATATTTCATGCAGTGCGGTAAGCGTTCAGGGTAGACTTTCGCCAGTTGAATGATAAAAGGGCTCGTTATTGTTGCTTCGACCAATTTGTTAGGTTTAGTAGGTTACCACCATGAGATTATCAGACTTTCATTGTCATATGACACTTTTGGCAGTCAAAGTACCTAATATTGTCACATCGATCATCATTCCTTCTAGGTCATTGCTAGTGAACGGGGCTGCAATAACTCGGGATTTTCAGGCCTGGTCTTCAAAATGTGTTCTTCGATCAAGGGTTATGTTATTATGAGAAAAGTCCCTTCTGCGACGTTTAGGTGCGCCAGAACATTTGAGTTAAGATGTGGTGGTGGGAAAACCCAAGCTAGATGAAAGTTCCATATCCAACTTAACGTATCGTTGTAATCTGTCGCATTCATTATTGTTTCTTCTGTCGAGTCTGGAATACGTTTGAACAACGTGAGCTCGTTATG